GCTGTTGGAAACCAACTTCGGAATATCCAAGGCCAGACCAAAACGATATACACACGCTTTTTGGAGACCAGAAAATCGTACACGTCGATGCTATAACGAGAAAATAAGAAACAGGCAGAAACCAAACACAAACGAGAAAAAAAAACAAGGATGTTGATAATAATGAATTAAAATCAGGGTATGCCTCACGCCACGCTATGCGAGTCTCCCTAGCAGATAGGAAGACCAAGAATCACTGGAAATATGTACTGAGAAAGTCCATCCGACGACGGAAAGACATGGGAACTTTTTCGGTCAATGATTCATTTGGGCTTGCGCCAGAAGTATTGCTGAGAAGAAGTCAGTGAGGGTTCAGGTACATTAGATGTATAAGTGACATGGGGGAGGTACTAACCTTGTGCTGCTTCCGACAGTTGCGCAGGCCAGGCTTCCGAAGATCATCCACCACAGCAGACCGCCGCATAGCATCGTCATCCTCGTCGGGAACATAGTAATATTCACTCTCAAGTGGCTTGCCAGCGGCATCCTTGCCTTCGCGGGCAACTCTGCCAATAAACTTCGTGGATTCGAGAATATTGCGGATATCAGACCTAGAGAGGCTGGTGGGGTACTCCGGGCCGGACTTCCAGTGGGCGGGTGGGAGATTGTTCAAGATGGTGGAGAAGGGCGTGGAGGACAGTCGGGAGAAGGCGAGTTGATTGGCAGCGTGGTTGCGGACTCTCTCGGATCGTTCGTCAGTGTACTGGGGCTTGGCCTCGGGGGTCTCGGATTCCCTGTCCTCGTGGACGGTGGCTGGCTGTCTAGGGGACCGGGTAGGCTGAAGGGGTTGGGCGGGCAGCAGGCTGCGAGGAGAACGAGCAGTCTGGATGGGGGAATCACCCGCCCGGAAAGAGGCCATACGAGGAAGAAGGTTCTCTCCAAATGGTCCGAAGGAATGGATGATAGGATCATTCTCTTCGTCATTATCGGAGAACTCTTCAGATCTACTCAGGTCACTCAGCTCGCTCGCCCGCGAAGTGTGAAGCATAGCAGTAGCACGACGGGCACTCTGGGAAATCACCCCAGTGACAGTGTTGTGACGCTTCAATGGAGAGGGCTCATCCTCGAACACCACTACTGCAGCACGAGAACGAGAAGGCGTGAAAATTGGGGAGGATGGGGGAATGGCATGCTGAACAGCAGGCGAAGGAGAGACAGGCGATGCCAGACGCTGACGATCCAGGAGCGGACTTTCCTGCAGCTCTCGACGGGATTGGCGTCGCTGAGTTGGTGTTGCTTCGTCACTGGTCTGTTCTGAGTCTGTAGAAGGGCAGTCCCTTCTTTCGCTGCGAGGCCATTGTACAAGAACACGAGCCTCATGGACATCTATCATGATATCTGCATCTTTGATGTCCGAGGTAAAGGTCTTGCCTTTAGCCAAGTCATATTTCCTCCCTTGGCAGTGAATCTTTATCCCATTCCATCCCATACACACGATTTCAACCCTATCCCGATCGAATGGATTTGGAGCCGGCTTATATGTAGCCTTAACATGAACACGCGAGATCATGCGACTAGCAGCGAGCTGGTGATGGCATGAGACACTGGATCTTCCCATCAGAGTGGGTTCCCCATTCTCCGGCAACATTATCGCAGGCACGGCAGACAAGGGCGCGCGTTCGAGGGCAGCAGAGAAGGACCGTGGGAGGGAGGGTCGGGAGGCAGCGACACCAGGAGGAGGTGAAGAGGACATGATATGGGTCGACGAGGTCGGGACCGGGGTGGGATACGTCGAGACATCTGGTTCGCGTGCTACACGCTTTTGGGGCCGAGGAAGGGAGGGCGACGAGCTCGGCTCAAAGGCAGGTAGTAAAGCTGCAGGACGTTTCACGCCCAAGATCGAGCCAACTCGGCTCTTCAACGGAGAGGACTCCATAGTAAAAAGGTGGGACGAAGTCGAACGAGCACTCCTACTCACGAAAAGAAAAACCTGAGTCGAGGTCGAGGACCCGCGTCTCCGCGTGTTATACGAACACAGAGAAGAACCTAGAGAATTTTAAAGAAGAGAAAGACGTCAAGGCCCCCCTTAGAGAAAAAGGTGTGGTGGGAGGAAAGAAATTGGTCAAGGAGTAAGGAGGAGAAGCATTGAAGAAAAAGGTCGAAAGGGTGTGTGGTGGTGGAATGCCCTGGGGCGGAGGGTCTCGTCCACCCTGCGCGGAAATGCACGCTTACAGTCCGAGACGCGTTCGATAGGCGCCAACCACGCTCCACTGTAGGTTCGCGATTTCAATTCCTTTCTTTAGGTATTGTACAAATAGTTATTTGTAAATTAAGAGACAAAAACGTGAAAAGGCGCGAATTAAATGTTTGTTTCCTCTTATTTCGCTCTGTCAATTCTATACACTGCGGCGCGTCCGCGTCTCAAAGCACGTGACCCCACGCGAGACAGTAAACTGGGTTTAAGGCTGTCAGGAATGGTATTCATGACTTTGAAATTGATCTTATTTATCATGTAGCCCCCAGGATGATTTCCAAAAAATGAGTGCAACATATATTCCCTCCTAAATTGTTGGCCTATACAAGTATCAGGAGCCAATGGTGAAATTTAGGCAGCTTCTCCAAGCTCGTACATATCTAATACTAGGGTACGAAGTACGAAGATACTAGGGTATACTCCGTACAATTCGCCCAATTCGCCCAATTCCCAGCAGAAAATGCAAGCCCCCTAACCCCCCACTTACTGTCACGAAATTGATCACCGGTCACCCTCGTCGCGTCTCCCAGCCATTTGCCCGACCACATTGATATCATTCTGGCTCGAGCTTTACTCAAACCAAAAGCCTTTTTCTCCAAGGTCATATGAGCTAAATTCCAGCCTGACCAATTATGAGAAAAATAACAAAACACCCTAGTTTTTGCACTGGGCTTTTTTGTTGACAAGTGCTGGTGGGGCCTCGGTTAGTCCGATTTTTTGGTATGTTTTTTGGTATAGCTCACCTCACCGGTCTTCTGGGAAACCAGCATTAGCAAAGATCCTTCTTAGATATTTTACGTGTCGGGGTGACTCCATATCAGCTGTGGAGTTCTGCCTCTCGCAAAACCGATCCCTTGCCTAATATATGGGTCTAACGCATGTGGTCTAACGGACGGTTATATAAAACGGTACAGTGGAAATTATATTGATCCATAACGAGAGATAATCCAAAAAAACCGATGTAATCGAACACTTACCATTTTCTACTCAGGCTCTATAGTGTATTTTTGCTCGTTTTCGCTAATTGGATTGAATTTTCGGCCCCTTCCTGGGCTACAGGAATAGTCAATGATTAATTACATGAAGTTTTGTCTTTTTTTTCTTAGGCCTGCTGTACATTCTTATCGGCCATTTTGTCCCAACTCACTAATTTTTGCCTTGCTAATGACCACAAAACCCCTACTCGATTTCCCGAAGCCAACTTTCAACATGGCGTTTCTTTGCACTCTGTTGTCGTTCCACGTTCAACTCGGTTGCAGCCCAACCATCGCCATAACACAACATGGCAAGCCACCAGCAAACCTATTTTTCACAAGTATGGCCGCCGATGTTAACAAGAACCAAAGGTTGGCTGTCAGACTGAGCGCCCTCCTCTGCAGTATAACCCATATGGTATAGGCGGTCGATAGAACGAAGCAACTCCACCCAGCACGCACGTATTATACAGACACATGCAAGACAGACAATTTACCCATAAACCGAGAGTTCCTGGACCTAGGCCACTCCGATAAAAGGGAGTCTTGCCACAATATCACAATCAATCGATTACAAACTCCTAATTTTAGTTGCTTGGGTCAGCCCTATGGCTTACCAAGGGAGTAGCTGACATTGCCTCGCGTTTTTCAAATGGTAAGACCATATTATGAGAACGTTCTGGAGAATCTTGATAAATGCATCGTGACTCGGGCGCGCCGCATCACCCAACGTCAAGCACACACACCATCTAATCAGGTGGGCACATAATCCCAGTCAAGGTGGTCGTTCATTTGAAACTCGAAAGAAAGGCATGGATAGGAACAGACCAACTTAATTATTAACACCTAATATCAGCCGGTCGTGAATCTAGAGAGAGGGGTGAAAGCGGTCGGGCGCAGCGTGTGTTGTAGATTACCGTCTGTGGCACGGAGTGAGGCTTGTTCGCATGGTGGACAACAATTGCATTCTACGCTTGTTCAGATAAGTAAGTTTTCAGACCCAACCATGTATATGGATGCTTCCAGATAGTATAAACCCAGAAATTATACTTCGGCGGGTCTTGTGCAGAGCTGTAGATCTACAAATCGTCTCACGCCTTAGTTGTCACGATCTATTAGGGCTTCGCTCCTATATATATCGGCACGTGATTGGCCACAATCACAAATGTTTGTATTAGCTCGGCAATATTACTTCCAGAAGGCTGCGATGTGCCTCATTAAATGGACAGTTCCTTTTGTCCGCACAGAAGCAATGACGCAACCATGCATGATATAGCTACCGGGTGGGGTCGTGCATCTGGCGTTGCATCATGTACGCGACATGTCACATACCCCAAGCGCTTGCCGCCACACTAATAATTAGCTGGTCCCTCACATTGTGCGGAACTGTGGGTAGCTCAAGTACAACGGCACCTACCCTGTAGGTTCGTATATGTTACACATTGCTTAGTTATTAACATGTTATGCGATATGTTTCTGAATAGGGAAGCCCTGCGTTCACTGCCGTTGGAATACGTAGCTAGCTCTGGCGCCTACTTAATGATGGGAGAGGAATCAAGAAAAAAACTGCGGAATATCATTCGAAGGACGGAGAAGATAGCTTCAAGGCAGGCAGTGCATATCTGCTGGACTAGATCACTCAATAGTGGCCGGTCGATGACCGACCGTTACAGAACCAGCTGTGTGCCATAATAACCAACCTATACACTCAAACTTTCCACTTGAGGTGAGGCATAGGATGAAACAAGTGACCAAGAGTCCAAAGAAAAACATTGGGCAGGGAGATCCAAGTTTCAGTCACCAGGACAAAGATGAAAGGGAAGGGAACGAGGGATAGATTTGAAATCAAGAACTGATTGGTACTTGAAGATAAAGAAGGTAAATCTAACCGTCAAATAAAAAAAGATATCGCTCCCATCAATGTGCCTGACCATGGGGTAAATGTGGTCATAAGAAAATAAAACAGAAAAAGATGCAACGAGGATTGGATTTCGGGCCCAGTCACACATAAAACAAAATAGAACTTAAGATACACAGAATAGAATAATGAGCCTTCGAATAAGAAACCGTGAATATAGACAGATGCACATAGGGAAGTGAGATGAGAGCGGTAGCTCTGCTCGCCCTAGTGTAATTCAAGCGTGGGAAGCTCATCGAGTTTCGCATGGCAGTGTAAGGGCTGTCGCCGACCAAAAAGCAGTTGCGACGTTTAGTCGTAGAAGACGTAGTAGGCCTTGCCGGAGGTGACACCGACCTGGTGAGATATTGTTAGCATGGATGTTTACAAACTGGGAGATTTGGGATGAAAAACTTACTGTGCAGCCGCTGTTTCCGCTGATGAGGCCTTTAGAGTCGTAGAACTTGCCACCCTCGTAACGGCACTCATCGCTGAGGTTGTCACCCTCGAGCTTAACGTTGAAGTCGAGAGCCTTGTTGGTGGTCGGGGTGTTGGGGAAGATTGACAGGAACTTTCCGGACTTGGTGTAACCGACACCAAGGTTGATGGGAGCCCAGTTACCGATGGACTCGCTGCCATCACCCCACTGGCAACCCTTCTCAGTGGACACGCCCTTGGGGTTGACATAGTACTGGGCGGAGGTGACCTTGCCCTCCCAGAGGAAGTAGTCGTCACCATCGGGGCAAGTCAGGTCGTGAATAACGCCAGGGGACGCGGAGAGAGGAACGGTCTCAGACTCGGTACCAGGGTAATCAGTACGGCAAACGGCAACGTTGTCGGACATCTTGTTCTTGACGTGGACACCGCCAACGCCAGGAATGCAAAGCTGCTTGTAGTTACTGTTGGTGAGGTAGAGCTTGTTGTCGGTCTTACACTGGAGGCCACCAACGGACTGGCCGGTGCTACCCTGGGTAGTAGGCCACTGGGACTTTTGGTATCCAGGGGGGCAAGCGTACGAGCACATGGCACCGTGGTGGCACTCATCGCCGGTAACGGCAGTCACAATATCGCTGACCACCTCATCGAGGATAGTGACGTACTGGATACCCGAGTAACCACCAAGACCAAGGTAGTCAAGGGCGATAGCACCGTAAGCCGAAGGGAAGTCACCGCAGTCAATCTCTCCATCTGGGAAGTCGGCGGTGAGGCCGGTGGCACTGGAACTGCTTGAGCTGGAAGAGCTCTTGGTTGCAGCAGCGGTTGTGGTCGAGCTAGAGGTTGATTCAGCTGTGCTCGTCGAGCTGGCGGGGGTGATAACAGCCGAGGTCACTTGGAGAATCGCAGGGGCAACGGTAGCGGTTGTTGTTGGGGCCGGCGTGGAAGTCGATGTGGAAGTCGACGTGGGCGCGGCAGTGCTGGAGCTGCTAGAGCTGCTAGACGGGCAAGCAGCAGCAACGGCAGCGTCCAGCCACTCAAACTCATGGTTCGCGAGACCCTTGCAGGCTTCCTCGATGGTGATCGACTGAGGGCCACTGGACTTAGACGGGTCCAAAACGACAAAATCATACACAACTGGGCCGGGGACCGAAACGGTCTCGGTTTCAGTAGCGCGCTTGTGGGCGTGAGCGTGGCCATGGCCGTGAGCGGCCGCGAGGCCAGCCGTCGCGAGCGCGGCAACGGTGTTCTGGAACTTCATTGTAGTGGCAGGGCGAAACTGTTGATCATAATGCGTTAGTTGCGTGAAATCCATGTATAGTTGTTCTCGTCCAATGAGCCCCCGTTGTATAAAGCAGCTTGGACGCGATTGAGTGTCTGCGACCATATATCGCGTTTCTTGTGTTGCACAATCCTCTGTATAGTTCCCCGACCGACACGCAACAATCCACACCACACCACATTGCGACTTGCCACTGTAACATATAGAAATAGATGGGAGATAGCACATACATTCAAGGGTTGTCGCGCGTTTGTCGCAAACAATCGAGTAAAGGACAGCGGTTTTCAAATGAATGTGGAGAGAACGAATCCCTCTGGTGTGGGAAAACTTCGAGAAAGGAGAGCTGTGGATGGAAAGACTGGGGAAGAAGAAGTCAAGGAGAGGAGACAAAAAGGAGGGGGGGCGATTCGGTTTATGGCCCAATGGCGTTAGCGTGATTGTCACGGGAAAAGGGGCAGGTACGGGATACGGAGGACAGCTTCGAGATACAAAAGCTGTCTTACACTGCCTGCCTTGGTAGTGGACCCTGGACAGAGTCTGGATGCTACTTGTTTGCTTGGCATATACAATATAATCTTTCTAAGACTTTCATTCCCATGTACTCTGTACTCCGTACACAGAGTCAATACGTATCTCCCTCTCTCTTTCCCAGCTTAGGCACTTCTACAACAGTGTGATGGACGAGGCAGTTCCTTTTTTTTCTTTTGTTTACCTTTAGTCCCTGCGGCTTGGCGTTAAAACGAGATTAAAAACTGCCAGGGGGAGCCAATCAGAGGTAAGGATTGCACCTGTTTGGGCCCCAGAATTCAGGTACACCAATCAGTATTCACTTGGCCTGCCGAAATTCCTTGCGTATCCATGGGTACCAGGAGCATTTGATGGTTTGTATTATTCTTCATTTTTTAATCTCTTATTGCTCTGTTCAATTCTTACTACCATACGAAGCACTTGAATTCAGCAATTTATTAGAACACGCTATTGAAGTTACTTCCCCCTAATAATGTTATAATTCTTTTAACCTCATGTTGTTAATGTTGTTCATCGACTGTTGCGGACAGCCCCTAGCAATCCCGCCCCAGGGGTAATCATCGTAGGGTTTAAGCACAAGACTTTCACCCCCTGACAGCCAAACTGACCGATCTACTTCTGCCCGCCCAGCTTTTCCAAGACTTACAGTGCAGCGTGCGTAGCCAGCAAGGGGATTTCCCCTGACAGTGCTAGCGTTCGCTCCCTAGTCCAGTTTGTATTCCACTTTAACTGGACTCAAATCCTAGCCTACCAATACCAAATTCCATAATTTACTCCGTACCAGATCTGACCTGCTCATGGCGTCCCAAATAAAATTAACTACCAGCCCACGACGTAGGTATCATATAAATATCCCCAGAGAATCAGGAGGTTTGGAATACGGAGTACCTATATCGTACGTCTATTGTACTCCCTACGTAGAACAGCCCGCAGTGATGACGACTCCGCGCTTTAAATTTCTAAATTCACGCACTTCTCCATACTAGCCGAAAGCTGCTCCGCCCATCCACTTTTTCGATAATCAGCCAGCCAGTGGAACAATGATAGGCGAGCTAGAAGCCGACGGACTTGTCGATCTACAGCAATCTTAATCCTACTGTTTGGACGGCACGGCCTTGTCCGCGTCATAGCACGCTCTAGCAGACCTCTAAAATTACACTAAGAATTAAATGTAATGTTGTATCAATAACTACGCGGAAAAATCGAACATCCGAAGTTTTGCCCACGTGCTCCTCGTTCTCCATACAATAACCTAGTTCGGCGAGCATCTGTTCAAGATATGCTTTTGTCATGACATGCAATGCTATTCAAATAATAATTGCTACATGTATATCCAAAGTAAACAATCAAAGCCAATAACTATCAAGGCATCAAACCTATATGTACCCTTTTTGGTACGAATATTCAGCTCCACCGTCCTCCGATCCTTCCGATTCTTTCGACCTTTTAGCTGGTGCCTGCTGCAATAATTGAACATCAATCACCCTGGCTCCTATTTCTACCTGATGTTTTAAGCCGGATTTAGGTATAGCCTCAATGCATGCATTGTATGTTTATCAGAAGATACTTGCGCGGCTTCCTGAGTTATGTACGATATACAGATAAGGTTGTAAAAATTTCCATATATATTTTACTCTGTTCGACCATCTTTCCGGCATTTTATATATCAAAACCAGAGACAACCCACAATCCGGTTTCTCGGGGACCACCGTTCGTGTCATGAGGATGAATCTAATTCTCATATGGTTTTTATTTTCGATTTCACTCCAGCTTACTTGCAATATATAACAGCGCGCACCTGCGATACATAGGCTCTGCTTATCACAACCATGCAATTTACAGCACATAAGTACGAACCTCGGTAATCTGCCGCCCTACGGTCAACCCCGAAGCCTGGTCTTACAATATATGATACATATATAGTGGATGTGGATCTTCGCCGTGCGTGCTTCCGTGTCTTGCGGCGTGCGACATGCAATTTCTCACTCTCAACTCAACATTGGCAAAATGAAATCCAACACATCTGGCTATTAAATTGGATGTGTTCTATGAAAACATATTAAGACACCCATCAACATATATTACAACAATGGTCTGATCTACACATAGATCCAACCCGCTGTCTATAAATAGTTACCCAAACCGTGATAGACTTGGCACTCTTGTTATTTAAGGTGGCGATCACTTTTCGCAGGATTCCTTTTTCTGGAGAAACGAGGAAATATTCCATGTATGGTGCATATTTTTAGATAATCCGAAACAGCATAAAATTACGGTGATTGTCGAGCTTATTCCAGCCACATAGTCTCCACTAATGCACCTGGTTACTTGAAACACGATCATCAGCCGCTGCAGAGTTACTTCGTACTCTTGCATATGATAAAAGCTACTACCAGAAGGGAACCAACCCAATCGGATTTTCCCCTGTACCTATTCGATGAAAGTCACGCAATTTGATTTCATATCGCTACTGCTTTCTCGCCATTAGTCCCATAGAGTATTTAATCTGCCCTCCATGCGGAGTACTAGCGCCATCACAGTAAGGTTGAAAGTGAAATCACGTATAAGTGTCCTGAGTCCTATAAGTCTTCGTAGGTGTGGTAGATGTTATAAACCGGTATGTTCTACATTTATCATTCATAAGAACAGTCGGCCGCAATTGCGGCATTGTGACGTCTTTTAGCTAGTCTTTTTAGCTGTACTCCGTAGGTGAAGGGGATAAAAAACGGCATGATTCATGCAAGTAACTTTTTATATTAACATTTTGACTAGACTTACTATATAATTCCTTTCCACATGTAAAATAATACATACGACCATAGGGTGTGGAAAACAGGGCTTCCCGTCCGCTCAGCCGTACTTAAGCCACACGCCGGTGAGTTAGTAGTTGGGTGGGTGACCACCAGCGAATCCTCACTGTTGTATGTCGGTGTTCACTGTTTTTTTCCAATTCGTTGGGACAGATGCCCTTGCCGCTTTACCCTTCAGCCCCTTCAGGCCTTCACCTGAACGCCCTGAAGGCCCTCTATTCTTCACCCGAACGCCCTGAATGCCCTGAAGCGCTGACGTGGCCCCTCGGCTAAACCTTCCCCCCCTCTTACCCTCCTTCTCGCTCGTTGCCCAGTCCCATCTTGCCTTTTTTTGGTGGCCTGAACTGATCACGATCGGACCTGATCACGGAAAATAGATTCACCGTGGCAACCAGGGCTGTCTGGTCTGGCCTTGGACACCTCTTCTGCGAGGACGCAGTGAAAATTTTGACCAATGAAGAGATGCAGAAACGAATGTTTCGCTCCTATAGAAATAAATACAAATGAATGGCTCTACCGTGGCTGAACACCTAACGTACCTCACCAAGTTAAAGTGGAATTAAATTAGCGACCTTATTCTATTGTACTCCCAGATTGGGCACTACTGTCACGGCCTGGGGGCTTCATATTTGAAGAAAGGATCCACGCTCTCGAGGTATTAGGTTGTGGGTTCTCGTACTGTCTTCGACGAAGATCTGGTAGATGTCGGTGATTCGCCAGAGTTTATTCAACTATGGTCGTCTGGCCAAGGCTTGCTATGATTCAGCTGCTCGCGACCTTTCCAGTCACTACTCCATTGCGACGGCTGCCACCAGAGGTGCCGTCGTCGACCGCTGACGACTGCCGAGACTATGGGCTCTCCGACCATACCACCCCTATTACATTCGACAACATTGCTCTCGCCTTCGGTCTGCTTTCTATGCACTCAAATCTGGCAGCATCCTTGGTATAGATCGTACGATGCCTGTCGCCAGAAGGCGAAATGATCAGGCATCATCATCGCCGGCTCGCAGTCACTAAGACAGAAATCTCCCCTCTATAGACCCCGTTGATAAAATTACCTAAGGCTTTCTGCGCCTGTTTCATCTGTCTTGAATGGTTGGCGTCGCGTTTTGCCGGATTGCCGACCTCGCTCTGAGACCAAAGAATTCTGGACCCACAAGCGCCTTCTTGAAAGGGATCTCTCTGGTCACCCCTTGCTACGATACTTGTCTAAGTGTCGAATTCCATCGCGATGAAAGATATCAGATCTTCCTTGCATATACGCAAGATAGGATTCTACCCTCCCGTGTCTTGTAAGGCTCAACAGATACTTCATTCTCTGAAAATTTTATTGAGGAACTTCAATATCACTATGGGAAGTATGCCGCACCTAAGTCCGTTATCACCATCGATAATACATCCTTCCATTGTTCTGAGAGGTTCGAGCAATTGTGCCTTGATGAGGGGCTCAAGTCAGTGTGATTCCTACCGTACTCTCCTGAACTAAACCCGAATTGGAGCGTTCATTCGGGGGCATTGGCAGTTTTACGCTGATAATCCAGGTCAAGGTTTTGATTACTCCCTCGACTAATGTGTCGATCAAGTGGGATCCAGGGAACAAAGTGCAAGAGGATACTCCCAAAACCTAGGTCTTGGTATTGAAGAGCTATGTAGTGCAAGCTTAGTCTGCACCACTTATGAATCAACGCATGGAGGCCAACTTTCCTATTCAAATGCCTTGTAATCTTCACCTCTTCTATTGCTCAACGACCGCGAATCAGGCGTGGAATAGCTCCTAGAGGGCTGCTAATTTTCTAGTCGAGGAATGTCATTATTCAAAATCTATATTATCTTTTAGGTAAACTCCTTGCAAATATCGGAAATCGCACAGGCGGAGGGCGGAGACGTACCCGAGATAGATAGACAGCCTGCGGAAAAGCCACCTGGGAAATCCCGACCAGAAAATAATGTCACTAATGAAGCTGAGGTGCATTTACACGAGCACTTCGCAGAATTAGTCACGATAGCCCTGGATGATATGCCAGAAAACCCTATGTGTAGGTTGCAGAAAAATGACATCCCAGCTCTAATCAACGAATTCCCCCAAAGAACAAGCAACCAAGGATGGAGATGTAAGCGTCGTTACAGAGCCACCTTTTGATCCCCTACCCGACTGTTATCTGTGCTACTTCCACATATGCATGTATGGAGAAGCGGGCTGCTTCATAATCGGTGGCCTAAAATGGAAAGCAGAAGTACATTTGTACGCTTCGTTCATGAGTTCCCCCAGAGCAGAGTCTTTTGTAGAGACCATTGAGGAGTTGTATTCGACACAAGCCAACTTTCACAAGTTGAGGGAAGCTGCGATCGGAACTCGATATGTTTAGATTTGACTTGATTCAGCTACCATCCTTTGCAGTCTCGTAGAGAAATCTAAAAGATATGAATTCACAAGACAGCAGCAACATCATAAAAGCATGGGTACATCTTCCGACCATCCACCCGGCATCTCCATCCGTCGATCAATCATTGCCCAAAAGTCTCCCACAAATTCATCAGAGGGCTCACTAATCCACAAGCACCAATCCTCTGGTGTTGGGCCGTGTGAGAATCCGATCAACCGAATTACAAAGCGCCTCGATCTACCGAAAGTTTGGAAATCAATACAACCCCCTTTGTCTTTCAGTATCAACTCTTCCTTCTCACCGAGCTCTTTCAGGTTGACATTAGTATCTTGAAGATCCCGCAATAGCGCTCTGAGTGCTTCGTTGCACTTTTTCACAAGCGAGCCTTCAAGCGGTTTAGACAGCTGGAAACAACCGTCCAAGAAAGCATGCAATAGGGTCAGCCCGTTCATCGTTTGGTGTATGTGAAGACCATTTTCCAACATTTCTTGAAATATGGTATGCCATTCCTGATAGACTTTATGCTGCATAGCAGTGTCCTTGATCGTATTGTAAGGCCAATTTGAGTCGATTTTAGTACAGCCCATACAATATGCAACACCATGAGGTAAAGTGATCATGTGAGTGCTGCCGACAAAAGAGCTAGTGACTGGCACTTCAAAGTTAGAAAGTGTAAAAGAGATGATTTCAAATTTGGAAGTTGTAAATGAGACCCCATTGAGAATGGCCCTAATGACGGAGGGCCCATTCCAAAAATTACGGGATAAACAAGGACCCATTTCGTTAATGGCAAATCGAATGCGCTGCTCATCGGATAAGGTGAAAAATAATGGGCAGCAGGCTTCCTGGAGGAAAATGAATTCCTCTGCTGTACCTCTAAACCTGTGAAAACTTCTCATAAAGACATCCCACGGATCATCCTGTGATTCGTCTTCAAACTGACAGAGCAGCCGTAGCAGGGGAAAGATAGGTTGTGACTTCCTAGGAGGATTAATACTAACTCGTCCTATTGTAGAAATTGGCTTTTTATTTGAATCATCCAGTGCATTTGGATCAGCTCCCTGTTTCAGTAGAAATTCCGCTACTTCGAAGTTGTTATTGTAGCAAGCCCACTACTTTACTTAGCAACCTCCTGCGAAAACATAAGGTGATAAGCTACTTACAGATAGTAGAGTCATTCCTAATTCATCCCTTACAAAAGGGGTGGCGATCCCAGATGAGAACACTTGACGTAGGCCGTCAAGATCTCCATCTTTAGCAAATTTAAAAATTGGGTCATCGCATGGACGAATATTATACGTGCGAAAAACCCACTGCCAACCGCCGTAGGCTCTTTTCCCTTGAATTTCAAAGACTCTCGAGGTGACCCAGATTGGCAGGCCAAGCCGCCATGAATAAATGCCCTTTTGCGACGACACATGCACTGCACTAGAAAGTGACCCAGGATCTTCATTTTTTTCTTGATGATGGTTAGAAATCATAAGCAGGATACTAGCTGCGACTGAGCCTTACTGTCACTTTTGTTGTCATTAACTTGAATTTGAGGGGCCATACTTTGTTGTATCTGCATTAGACCTCTGTGAAAAGAATCAGCTATAGGGCTCGCAGCGGGAAAGCTAGCCAAACATACATTGAATAGCATTGCTGCGAAAGAGAAAGCAATCGAATCGAATTGCTGAGCCTGGCCTTATATTTTTCCACTTTGCTTTTTTGAAGCACAATTTTCAACGAAGAGTAGGATCGCCTCAAGCGACCAGACTGACGGAGATCTTTCGCAAGATCCTTTGAAATGATCTGAAGGCTTTCTGCTGCCTTTTTGCAGACCTCTAGACTCCGAAATGAATGTCCATTCATTTCTATGGAATTGGCCAGTGGGCTCGATGAAAGATTCTGTTCAGTTTCCCGCAAAATGAGATCATAAATTTCTAGCTCAGCGATGAGTTCTTGCATTTCTTCGGGCGCGTCGCGGATCTGGTCCCAGCAGTCTTTGATTTGGATAATTGACTTGGAGATCTGCGCAACGACAGTTGCAAAGGTAATCGCCCCTGAAACGATCCCGATCACTTCAGCCATCTTGTCTTAGCGGCCGTAGATGAGCTGTTGGAAGGAGGAGTGAGGAGAGAATCCCAGCTGAAGAGCGGGGTTTCGTGGCGCATGATTTTATTATGAATAAGGGCGACCCATGTCGTTCTTTTCATTGGACGTCTATGCTGCGCCTCGGACTCAGTTAGCGCTGGCTGATTTGGCTCCAGCAGGCAACTTTTCAGGAAGCCAATTTATCCTTCTCAGATGGCTACAACTAGCCGCCTTAATTGATGGTGTCACTCCCCATTTTGCACATCACAGCTGCGGGCTACTATGAACACAGAATCACCGGCCTTGCCGCCTTGACGAGCGCCGGGGATAATATTTATGAAGGACATTTCCAATTCAGTCAATCAATCAATCAATCAATCAACACTCTATTAACCTGTTGCAACCTAACTAGTGGCGTAATGGTTATGCAGGCGCTTCCTCCGGCGGAAGCAAGAGTGATCCGAACGCCAGACCAGCGCATGAAACAGTAAATACATAGGAAAATGGCGTCTCGCCATATAAAATCAGCCCAAAAACAGTACCAAAACGCCCTCACATCGGCCTGCTGCTGCCTCTGTATCTCCATTCCCGGTATCCCTCCCGCTTCGTCCTCGATTAGTGGTGCTCGTTAGTGATGTTGGATATATTCTTCTAAGACCTCTCGGTTAGTCGTGGGCTTATCGTTCCTCCTACCTAGCGTCTTCACCCCCTGTGCTGTTACTAGATTATCCTAGTAGATCGTTTTCGTTGCCTCTATTTAGCGGCTCTAGTTCGATTTTGACATGCTGGAACTGCCTAAGTAGACCTGTTTAAAGCATAAATTTAGCTACGTAGAGGGTAGCCTGCGACTGCGATATAATCGTATTGTAATCCGTTAAATCCCCAAGATCGGTCATCCGGATCTTATTAAGGAAGGTTTTCCTTAGATTAGCGTATAACGGGCACTGTATTATGATGTGTCTTGGTGTTTAAGACCCCTCGCTATAGTAACACTTATCTAATTTAACCGCTTTGATTTTGTATAAGAAGTAGACTTTGGCAGAACTAGACTGCGACATCGCCCATGGACGGGCGGGTGGGCAGTGCCCACGGGCCTTATGTAAGCGGGCGATGGGCACTATCAATACGCCCATGGACGGGCCCTACCCTTAGGGCCCATTGTCCATGGACACCGTGGGCGCCCGTGGGCCTTTTTAGTAAGCAAAATTAGCGCAACACGTGATTTTTATTGACAGATTTCAAAATATTTCAACTAAATCTATATTTTTTATATATTTATAATCATAATTCCGGATTTTTAATAAGATATATATAAATATATATACTATAATTTACTATATATCTAATTTTTATATATATTTAAGACAACTTTATATAATGGTGGGCATCGTAGGCATGCCCGCCGTGGGCATGCCCGTGGGCCTTGGGCGTTATGGACGGGCACTCGAAAATCCAAATAGCCCAAGGCCCACCGTGGACGGGCGATGTCGCAGTCTAGTTTATTTTATATAAGACATATGATTGGATCTTCAAACATATACATATAGCCTAAGGCACGTGATTGAGTACGTATATGCTCTAGAGATAGCCTTATATGTATATAAAATGGTATTAGGATAACAGGTATTTGAGTAATCTGCAAGGGAAAAAAAGAATTACGTATATAACCACGAAATTTCTAGTCCCCCTCAGCTTCCAACCTGGCGGGGACTAGAAATTAAGTAAGATTTTTTCTAGTCCCTGCCAAGTCTTTTCTAGTCCCTCTCAGCTGGAACCCAGCTCGAGGTCGCTTCGGGCTACTACCTTCTTACCTTGATAGCACTCGTACATACCAAAACCATCTACGGACTTCACTGAGTAGCTACTGCATCAAGACATAGTCTTCAAGAGTAAGTTTACTTAAGATTGAAAGTGGAAGGAGTCGAAGGAACAGTGGGGTGAGATGTATTGATGAAGGCTCGTATTGGCTAACGTGGCTGGTACGCCCAACAAATACGAAAAAGATAGAAAAGAAGAATTTCATGAGTGTGCTATGCTATGAAAAAAAAGCCAAAAACTATTTGTAATTCATATACAATGCAAAAAGTCAAGAATTAAACTAAACATAACAAGTTTCACTGCAGTAAGGAGAAAATCCAAAAACAAGGGACGAAAGAAAAGACACCAATTCGCCAAATAACAAAGACAAAATGAGCAAATGAATGCAGAGCCACATTTACTGGAGCACCCGCACCATGGAATCCAGGGAAGAATGCTGCACTAGTGTCTCTAGGCGCACAGCACCACCAACACCGTGAGCTTGCAACTCACAGAGCAGCAGAGCCATGTGTACCAGATCTCCTCCCGCCTCAAAGAAGTCTACCTTGCCATCATCAATCCGAGAATCAATGGGAAGGATGGTACGCCACGCCTGCTGCACCGCCGCCCGGACGTTGGAGTTCGTAGTCGGCAGAGGGCTCTTCTCAAGCAATTCGTCAACTGGGCGCTCTTCTCTACTGTGTAGAGGGAGCAGAGCCGGCGACTCCCCCTTTTCGTAAACGGGCGTCTTTTCCACTGGTAGGGCTGCCCACAAGCGCAGCAGACTGCCTAACTGCTCAATCAGCAACTCCGCCGCGAACGGCGTCATGACTGCCGATGAGGTGAGCAGATCTAGGTCAACGTAGCCATCGCCCGTGGGAGTCGACAACACTGAAACATCCGTGAGGTCGAGATCAGCGCCCATGAAACCAGGCTCATAGAGGACGGTGGCATTGTCCTGGTCTAGCTGCAACGCACGGTCGGGCTCGATATTTTGATGCTGCACCACACTGCTGAAGTGAGACCAGCGCTGCCAGTCCGTGCAGTCACGTATGATTTGACGGAAGCCAAGGAACTCATGGGGTAAGTTTGCTATCTGTTGCTGTTGCTGTGCCAAAAGAAGTTCGAGCACTGTTTGATGTGCATCCAAGCGTGCGCGAACTGGCACTACATTCAAACAAGGACCCACGACAGTGTCAATGCTCGCCAATGTCGCGGCAGAGCGATTGGCGGTTGTGTGTCCGAAGACGACATCGGTAGAGTCAGTCAGGCGTGCTAGCAGCACCGCCCAAGCAGATTTGAGGACCGTGGCTGTCGTGATGCCATACTGGGGTAGCGAAACCACTGGAACGTGGTGGCGGGTAACATGCAACACGCGCTCCGTGGCGTCGTCGCGCAGGCTGGGCTTGTTGTGCACGACAAAGCGGGTCTCTGGTGAACCGGCTAAAAGTTTGCGCCAGTGTGAGCGTGCAGCAGTAAGATCTGCTGGAGTAGTGTCTTGGAGGAATCGCGCAAAGGAGGGAGTAGAAAGCTGACTCTGGCCTTGGTAGGCACGCTGAAGGGACTCCCAGAGGGTTGGCAAAGACACACCGTCATATTGCGCGTGTGACAGGCGCATCAGCAGACGGTGTGACTGACCGTTTGGATGCACGGCTAGTACAAACCGTACATAGGGCTCGGACAGTTGGAAATCGTTGGCGATGCCCTTATCGTACAAGCCTTGAGTGAAGGCGGCGAGGTCAGCGGTAGTCTCAACGTCGAAGCAGGGCTGCAACTTGTGCAGAACCACCTGCCAGAAGTGGCCTGCGTGAGGTGCGAAGACCGTACGGAGAATGTCAAAGTGCTGAACCAAGAAGTAACAGGCCTGACGGAGGCGTTCGATGTCAGGAGCACCGGGACCATCGAAGTAAAACCAGTTTAGCATCCAGCGGGACTCGCTCAGATGGCCGACCAGTGCGACATCCTGGAAGTCCGTTGTATGCTGAATAGCAGCGATCGCGCTAGGAACAACACCTATCTGCGGTGCCAGAACCTCAGCCAGAGCGAGATCCAGCACGGGAGCTGTCGCAGTCGTCAACTTGGGCACTAGTGGTGGCGTCTCGGTCCCCGGGGTGGGTGGCATTTGGGTACTTAGATAGGCGGCTAGATCCGCCAGAATTGGGTGAGTGAAGAGATCAGTGACAGTCAAACTGAGTTGCGAATTGCGAGCGAGACTGGCCAATTTCATGGCAACAATGGAATCTCCACCGAGGCCAAAGAAGGTGTCATCGGCGCCAATAGTGGAGGCGTCGACAGCGAGAGCTTCGGCCCAGAGACCGGCCAACCTGCGCTCCATTGGAGTCTCAAGCGGGCGCTTGATTACACGATCCTGGAGGGAGTAGGCTTGCAGCTGGGCGTCCGACAAAGTGTTTACAGCGCGGCCCAGCAGCTTGCGGTCTGTTTTGCCAGATGCATTTGTCGGAAGAAGTTGCAGAGGGATGAAAAGTGCCGGCAGCATGTAGGGCGGAAGCATCGCACGCAGCGCCGCTTGAAGGTTAACCAGTGTTTGTTGAAGCTCTGGCGTAAGGGCCCGCGCAATCGCTCCGAGCTCCATGTCAGGCACGGGGCCAGACTCCTGGTAAATATAAGCCACCAGAACCTTCTGGCCATTGCGACTGGCGAGGGTCACGCTGTCCACCA